CCTTATGGAATATCATGTTCCACGCCCTATGGTCTTTTAATGTAGAAGCTACAAGGTCCTGTGTAATCCTGACTGTGGTTCCATGATATTTAAATTGTTTCTTTCTGTCTGCTTGCAGTATTTTTTCTTTGATCTGGTAATTTTGGAATTTGGCTATTATATTCCTTGGGGTTTTCAATTTGGGATCTCTTTCAGGCGGTGAGCAGTGGATTTTTTCTATGGTTATTTTACCTTGTGGTTATAGGACTTCAGGGCAGTTTTCCTTTATGATTTCCTAAAAGATACTGTCCAGGCTCTTTTTTTATAATGATTTTCAGGTAGACCAATAATTTTTAAATTGTCTCTCCTGGATCGATTTTCCAGGTCAGTTGTTTCACCCATGAGGTATTTTATGTTTTCATCTATTTTTTCATTTTTTTGTTTCTGTTTGACTGATTCTTGCTCTCTCATAGAGTCATTAGTTTCCATTTGTCCAATTCTAATTTTTAACAAATTGTTTTCTTCTGTTAGTTTTTGTACTTCCTTCTCTAATTGGCCAATTGTATTTTTAAGGGATTTGTTTTCTGCAGTGTATTTTTTTTTCCAGTTGACCAATTGTGTTTTTTAGGGACTTGTTTTCTTCAGTGTACTTTTTTTCCAATTGGCCAATTGTATTTTTTAAGGACTCTTCTACCTCTCTCATTTGACTTTTAAAATCCTTCTTGAGCTCTTCTAAGAAGGCTTTTTGGGTTTCAGAACAGTTCATATTCCCTTTTGATGTTGCAGATGTGGGTTTGTTGACAATGTTGTCCTCTTCAGAATTTCTGTCTTGATCTTCACTCTTCTCATAATATGAATCTATCGTAAGTTTCTTTTTACTCATGGTCTTTAAAGAGATTAAGCTCTCCTGCTAGGGGGCAGAGGGCACTGACCCAAGCTTCTTGTGTTGGGAGCTTAGGTCTTGGTTACTGGCTTTATGTGCTGGGTCCTCTCATGTTGGCAATTGGAGGCTGTAGGGTTCTGGTAGCTTACCTGGTATTGGGCTGGAATCAGCAAGGCTGGAACTCCAGTGCAACTCTAGGTTACCTGCTTTTCCTTTCTTTTAGCTTTCTTCAACTCCTTTTAGATGGGTGCTGCAGGGTGTTTATCTGCCTGGGGCCCCTTGCAATGCTGCCTCCCTTAGTTCTGCTGAGGCACTGGGAAAGTCCTTTGCTGTAGAATGCCAAGGCACCTGGTGGTTTTCTGAGCTGGTTTCCACCAGTTCCCCTGCCCTTACTGAGGCACTCGGAGATCCAGGTGTTGGTGTTTGCCTGCTCTACCACCCGGGCTTCAGAATCTCCTCCTGGTTGGCAGTTGGAGGCTGTAGGTTTCTGACAGTTTACCTGGTGTTGGGTTGGAATCAGCAAAGTTGGAACTTTAGGGCAACTCTAGGTTGCTTTCTTCAGCTCCTTTCAGATGAATAGGGCTAGGCGTTTATCTGCCTGGGGCCCTTTGTAGTGCTGCTTTCCTTATTTTTGCTGAGGCACTGGGAGACCCATTTACTGTAGAATGCCGAGGCACCAGGATCTCCTCCTGGTGTGCTAAAGAGGGTCTTTCCGCTAGCTGGCTGGGATGCCTCCCATTCCATACTGTTCCCTTTCCCCCAGGGTAAGAGGGGCCTTTTCTGTTAATCCCTCAAGCTACCTGGGCTACTGCACTGCTGCTCCCCATCTTTCTTCTGGTCCTGCTGTTCCAGGGTTTTTTCTGGGGTGTTATGTTCTGGATTTTCAGAGGCTGATAGGGAGGGGTGAGAGCGACTACCTTTTTACTCTGCCATTTTGGCTCCCAGAATCGGAAGTCCATAGCATTTTCAAGGTTACAAAAAGCTTTCCTTACATTATTCAATTTATGCCTCACACCAACCCTTGCAAAGCAGGGACTTTAGGCATTTACCCACATTTTACAGATGAGTAAGCTGAGGCTTTCAGTTAAATGGCTCAAGGTCACATAGCTCTGAACCCACGTCAGCCTGACTACAGATGAGGCATGCTGTCCACTACCTCCTTGCTGTCTCTCAGTTACAAGGTGACCCAGGAGACCTGCATTCTAATCCAGGCTCTACTGCCTGCTAACTAGCTGTATGCATCCCATCTGATACTCAGATTCCTCTTCTGTAAAAGGAAGGCATTTGGAGAACTAGACGGTTTCTAAGGTTTCTTCCAGGTCTAAAATGGTATGATTTTTGTAACATGGGAAACATTGCACCATCCCCTAGTGGTCACCTGTCTGTGAGTATTTGGGGGCTGTCTGTGTCGTAGAGAAAGAAACTAAGCCAAGACAATTTTGGATCTTTGGAGTTAGAAAGCAGGATGGAAGCAGCAAACGGTGCCAAAGCACTGCTACCCACCCCTCCCTCCTCTTTCACCCCTCCCCCCATCCCAAATTACCACTTGGATCTTTTGTACTTTTATCTTGTATTTGAAGAGCTTTGGTGGTTTTTGCTGTTTGGAGTTTTGAGGTTATTAAGTTGTTTAAAATTAAAAGGAGTTCATCTTTTTTAATGGCAGAACAAAGAACTGTAAATAACTCAGTTCTAGTTGACCTTAGTTCAGAACTCTCTTCTACTTCTCCCCATTTCACTTTTGTCCACTGTCCCCTCAATACTCAAATTCTTCTTATACTCCTTCCATATCAGAGGGGTCCTTGGAAGTTATTATCAGCCTCTCATTTCATAGATGAGAAAAATTAGGCCCAGACAGGTTAAGTGATTTGCCCAGGGTCATGGAACAAATGGCAGAAACTTGGGTTCTCTCATTCTAAGGCCACATTGTTTTCACTGTACCAAGATCTTAGCCCTAACTGAGAGTAGGCTTTCCCCTGGCACATCTCATATACCCTTTTCCAACGCTGGCTCCTCTTCTCTTACTACTTTTGTTTTTTTGTTTGTTTTTTTCAAGGCAATTGGGGTTAAGTGACTTGCCCAGGGTCACACAGCTAGTGTCTGGTCTGAGACCAGATTTGAACTCAGGTCTTCCTGACTCCAGAGCCGGTGTTCTCTCCACCTAGCTGCCCCCTTTCACTACTTTTGACTCAAATTTATCTCATTAGATCATCACAGTCTGTAAAAATTCTCCCAGACAGCTAGGTGGTACAGTAGATAGAGTGATAGGCCTGGAGTCAGGAAGATTTGAGTTTAAATCTAGCCTCAGACACTTAATAGCTGTGTGGGCAAGTTAACCTATGTCTGCCTCCATTTCCTAAACTGTAAGCTGAGGATAATAATATGGCACCTAACTTGTAAGGTTGTTGTGAAGATCAAACCAAACCATTTTGACAGCTGATTGGAAGATGGATTGGAGTAGGGAGAGAATTGAGACAGGCTAACCCATTAGCAGGCTACTGCACTTTTCAAGGCATAAGGTAATGAAAGCCTGCACCAGCCCGTGATAGATAAGAAGTCTAAGGATTCAACAGAGGAAGGCAGTGTAGAGTTGAGTCAACTCACCAAGGGGTCAAGCTGGGTAAGAGAGAGTAACTTGTTCAGGGGAGATGGCCTGGGAGAGAATTGAGGGGTCAAGGGATTGGAGGTCCTGGTGAGGATGAAGAGTAGGGTTTTGTAGGGGAAGGTAGAGAGAGACAAGGAAAGCCAATAGGTTATGGTTGGATTTCTTGAACGTGGAGGTGGTACTTTTAGATTGTGACTATCTTTGTGTGTGGCTAAGGTGGGGTAGAGGAGTAGCTCATGAGAAATAAGTTAAGGGACTAGATGGTTAGAGTATTTGACAGAGAGTCAACATTTATGTTAAAGTCTCCCATTATAAGAGTTGGGGAAGAGAGAAAAATTGTAAGCCATGTACAGAACTCATTGAAGAAGAGAAAGATTTAGGATGAAGTGATGTTATCTATATGGAATAGGCATTCCAGACAGTACAATGGAAGGGCTGAGAGTTTGGGGTGGGAGGGGATGGGAATAAGGAATAAGGTCATGGGGGAAATGAGGAATACATGTATGATGATCTCCAGGGCTTCAGGATCAATGGAATGTGAAGGGTATGAAGAGGTGTGAGACTGTTCACCATTGAAAGGAGGGTACAATTGCTCTTTCCAATGGAAGTTAGAGATTGGGCTGGAGGCAAATGCAGTATGAGATGGGAGGCCCATGGTCAGATGATTAGGTGGGAGGCCCTGCATCACTATTCCTGTCATACTTGTGCCTTATGGAGATTATTTTTACAGTTGTATTAAGGATAGTTTGGAGAAGTGAGAGACTGGAAGGAGACCAATTAGGACTCTGTTGCAATACTCAGGACATGTGTTCTAAACTAGGGTAGGGAAAATAGTGTAGTGGCAAAGTGCTTAAAGAGCCAACCTCCTTTCTCTCTCTCCATATACTGTACCTATACACACAAGTTTTTGATTATTTGTTTGTGTAGAAAATGAGGCCCAGAAAGGGGCGGTAAGTGTCTTGCCCAGGATCTACGACTAAATAGAACCAGGTTTTTCTGACTGCCAAGTCCTAGGAGAGGAGTCAGCCTGAGAGGAAACTGTGAGTGAGGTAAGGGGGAAGAGGAGCGCTGGGGTTTGAATGTCTACCACAGGCAGCTAGGTGGCCCAGTGGGACCTGGGAGTCAGGAATATGCGAGTTAAATTCTGCCTCAGACGCTAGCTGTGTGACCCTGGGCAAGTCATTTAATTTCTGCCTCGGCTCTCCCATTTGTGAAATGGAGATAATAGCACCTATCTCCCAGGGTTATTTTGAGGGTCAAATGAATTAATATATATAAAGTGCTTTGTAAACCTTAAAGCACTATAGACATATTAGTTATTATTATTTATCATTATTCCTTGGGGCCGACCCACGTTCTCCAGGGGGTAGGGGTCAGGGGGAGGGCTGGAGATACAGGCAAGGCACCTTGGTACATGAAGATCTGAGCTTAAATCTTGCCTCGGCAGTAGTTGGGTGACGCTGGGCAAGTTCCTTTCTCACCCTCCCTGTGCCTCAGTCTCCCTGCCTGCACAGGGAGAGGGCCAGACATCCTCACCAATAATAGGTGACCGTGCAGGCCCCACACACACGCTCGGCCGGGGCTTCGCACACCTCACACTTCAGCTTCCGCCCCTTGGGCACCGCCAGCGGGTAGATCTCGTTCATGGCTCCGGTACCACAGTACCGCCGCCGGCGCGTCCGTTGCCAGGAAATGGAGAGAGCGGTTGCCGAGAACTAAAACCCTAGGCCCGCACCTTCTTCCCGTCACGTGACAGGAAACTCCCAATCCAAGGCTGAAACGAGCTGGGTTTGACGAGAGCACGCACTCTATGCAGACACGCACAACTGTGCTCAGGACAGCAGAGGGCGCTCTCAGGCTGCCGCTGCCTGTTCCCTCTTCCCACGTGCGCCGAGGGAAAGCGGTGGTTTCCCATTAGAGCACCTGAGCTTCAGTCCCGGTCCTGCTTCTCCCTATCAGCATAATTTTGGGCGAGTCCTTTCCCCTCCCTGTACCACAGTTTCCTCCTTCAAATGAAGGGGTTGGCCCAGGTAATCTGCTTTCACTTCCAGGACCCTATTTAACCAGAGAGCTCCAGGAGCACGATGGTGTCCAAAAGAGTTAAGGACCTTCCTAGGGTCCTGTTGGAGGAACTGGGGATATGTCTGGCCTGGAGTAAAGACTCAACGGGGAAATCAAATATCTGAAGGGCTGTCATGTGGAAGACATATTAGACTTGCCCTATTTGGTCCCGGAAGGCAGAACCAGGAATAGTGAATAGAAGTTGCAAAGACACTGATTTAGGCGTGAGGTCAGGCTTGTTTTCCAAACATTTAGAGCAATTTAAAAGCAGAATGGGCTGGGGCTGCCTGGAGAGATAGTGAGTTACCTATCCTAGAGGCCTCTGAGCAGAGGCTGGGCGACCTCCTGTCAGGTTTATTATGTAGGGAGGATTCTTTTCCAGTTCCCTTCCGTCCTGGCAGAAATACAACAGGGAAATGAGGAGAGACCAGCACGGAGCTTGGGCACCGGCACAGCCTACCTAAGCTCTTTATAACACTTGACGAAGTGTGACCGGGGGTGGGGGAGGGGGGGCGGGCTGCCGGTGTTTCTCTAGGCTGAAAAAAACGGACCCGTGCTCTCACGGCCGCCACAGACCCTCTGGGTTGGAATCGCGGAGGAGACTCCGCCCACTCGCTGCCCCTTTCTGCGCTCAGGTGGCCCAGCCGCGCCGCCGTTGCTAAGGCGACGGAGGCGGCTCCGGACTCCTCCCCCTCGGCGGCTGCGCAGTAGACGGGACTCGGGCTGATTGGCAGCGGCGGCGCAGGTCAGGTGCTAGTATCCAGACCGATGGCGGAAACGATGCTGAACTCAGAGTTCCCGGAGCCTCCCGGCGTGGCGCGGAGCGCCGCGCTCATGCAGAGCTTCGCCGCGCGGATGGGCGCGCAGGGCCGGCGGGTGGTGCTCATCACGTCGGGCGGCACCAAGGTGCCCCTGGAGGCGCGCCCCGTGCGCTTCCTGGACAACTTCAGCAGCGGGCGGCGCGGCGCGGTCTCGGCCGAGTGCTTCCTGCGCGCCGGCTACGGGGTGCTGTTCCTGCACCGCGCGCGCTCCTCCTTCCCCTTCGCGCACCACTTCCCGCCGCAGACCTGGCTCGCGGCGCTGCGGCCCGCCCGGGGCGAGGCCGAGGGCCCCGGAGGCCGCCTGCTCTTGGAGGCCGAGGCAGCTGCGCTGCCGGGCTTCGCCGACGCCCTGCTCACCTACCAGGAGGCCGCCCAAGCCGGCACTTTCCTGGCCGTGGAGTTCACCACCCTGAACGACTACCTGCACCTGCTTCAGGCCGCAGCCCAGGCGCTCAGCCCGCTCGGTGCGTGGGCAAGATCCAGACCCGGCCATGTGCCGCCTCCGCCCGGTGACCTTGACTTCCCGCAGCCGGCGAGCGCCCCGGGAGCTGCCCCTGCCCGCCCCTTCCCTGTCCTCCGCGCCTTCCCCGCCCCTCCCATAGCAGCGTAGCTCTGCGGCTGGAAGGGACCTGGAAGGCCCAGCCGGCATTTACATAGCACTTACTATGTATGTGTTGGGCACTGTGCTAAGCTCTCCTCTATTACTATCTCACTGGATCCTCGCAGCAGCCCTGGGAAGTAGGTGCTGCTATCGTAATCGCCCTGGTCCCGGTCATATAGTAATCGGTGTCCGAAGCAGGATCTGAACTCACTCCTTGACACCGTTCCTCCCCCCAAGTCAGGCATTCTATCCACTGTGCTTTGTCACTGTTTTTCTTTGCAGGCTCCTCTGCAATGTTTTACCTCGCTGCGGCTGTGTCGGATTTCTATGTGCCTGCCTCTGAAATGCCTGAGCATAAGATCCAGTCCTCCAGAGGCCCTTTGCAGGTGTGTAAGACTTATTTTTCCCATCGAGGCTTATGGTCCCCTACGTCTGAGCATGGACCAGCTTGCTTTTTGTTTGAATTAGGCTTTTCTATAGTCAGACTGATTTATACCCCAAAGCAGTGTGGTCCAGGATGCTCATAAATCCAGAGACTGTTAGATTAGAACTGAAGGGGACCTGAGGGTATTTGGTTAGAATTGCCTAAATATAATCCATAAATTAAAAAGCCTATTGGTAAGATGCGTAATAAACTTTGCCAATGGTTCTGCAGAAATTGTGTGTGTTTAAAGAGGATAGCTTAGATATATAATCACAATGTTGGAGCTGTGGGGCACAGTGGAGTTTATCTAATCCAAGCCCTCTGTGCAGTCTTTACCCCTTTCCTTAAAGATACCACTTATGTCTTTAGTGAACCTTGGCCTCCACCTCTTTCCTTCCTTATCAGATCAATTACTTCCTTCTCCAACCCTGACCGAAAAACACCTTTTTATAAATACTTAAAGGATGCAGTGTCATCCTTGTGAGTATCTCTTACTCATACATAGATGACAACCCCTCCAAGTCCCAACCACAGTTACAGTGACTGAAAAATGAATCGCTGTTTTGTCAACCTAGTGATAAGCCTGACTGAATGAACTTAACTAGATTGGTTCTTGGATGACAGATAGATGGTTCATTGTCAGGTATGTAATGGGAATCCATTTCAGCTTGGTGGGACCTGCCTGAGCTTGTATTCCACTAACATAGCCTTTCAGAACCCAGGTTTACCTTTATGCTGTGCAGAAGTTATTTATAAAACTAATGGGCTTAACCAATTTTTAGAAGTTCAGGTCTTTGACTCAATTTTCTCTTAGCACTGATGTCCAATAGTAAGAGAAGCAGTGTTCTAGATATCTTTATTAGAGATCTAGAGCACGAACATCAATCCTATGGGCTTTCCAGAAATCTTTTGTTAATTCTGATGGGATTCCATGGGGAACAGGACTGAAGGGACAAGGTTAAGTAGTGGACCCTTGGTTTATATACTTACTCCTTATCTCCCCTGTGGCTCCTTCTCAAATCTTCCCTTAACTCCAAAATAAACTCTTTATCTAAATCAAGGCTGTCCACTATATTGGTCCATATTAAGCATATATTTCCTTCAAATCTGACTTAAATAAAATTCAAGTACCATTTATAATTAGTGGTATTTGTAATAATATGACTGTCTTTTTTTTTTTTTTGACAGCTCATTTTAGGTGTGGTTTGTGTTCAGATTAGTGTATTAACTTCTTTTGTAAAAATATACTAAGAAAATTTTATCTATTCTTTTTGTGTAGTCATATCTTCCCAAGCTTTAAATAAATTTAAATGTTAGACTGCTTCATGAATTAGAGAAGTATTCAGTCAAATAGCATTTATTAAGCACCTACTGTGTGCCAGGCATTAAAACTGACCTTTCTATCATATGAAAGTAATTTTTGCATATTACTTTCTGGGTATCAGTTTCTTCAATTGTAGAATAAAAGGACCAGGAGGGAAAGGGAATAAGCATTTATATAGCACCTACCTTGCTGTGCTCAGTACTTTTCCACTTCCACAGCTGTCATCTGTAAGACTTCTAAAGGACCCTGGCTTTATTTTATCTGCCTGCCAAATCTCACTTTTAATGACTATTGAGAATGTTGTGGCTGTTGACAATATTTTAAAGCCTGTTCTGCCTCTTTTTCTTTTTTCCTGCCTACATGCCCTTCAAGCAATGTGCCAACTATTGTGCTGGGTATTAAGGTTACTGAGCCAAAAATAAAACGTCCCACCGTTAAGAAACTTGTGTTCTGTTGGGGGAAGACAACGTGTATGATATACATACATAATACATATATAAGTACAGACAAGGTAACATTAGCAGCAAGGGGGATCTGGAAAGGCCTCATGTGACAAGTGGCATTTAAGCAGATATTTGAAGGAAATTTGGGGTCCCGAGAAACAAGTGAGTTGCTAGTGCCTTCCCTGCTTGGGGGACAGACAGCCAATTTAGCTGGACCAAGATTGCATGGCGGGGAGGAATTACGATAAGGAAGGAAAGAAAGATTGGAGTCAGGTTGTGAAAGGCTTTAAAAATTACCAAATGAATGTGTTTGTATTTGATTCTAGAGAGCTATTGGAGTTCATTGAGCAGGAGTGACATGTGGAGACCTGTGGTTAAGGAATATTTTGACAGCCATGTGGAGGATGGATTGGAAAAGAAAGAGACTTGGAACAGGGAATCCAATTAAGAGGCTATTGTGAGAGTGTGGGTGGGAAGGCTAAGGGCCTAAACTAGAACGGTGGCTGTGTGAGTGGACAAGAAAGGGTAGGAGTGAGGAAGAGCAGGGCTTTATGGGTGACTCTCAGGTTGTGAACCTGGGTGACAGTGTTGGGGGAATTTATTAGAAAAGAGGTGTAAAGTGAGAGATACTGAGTTTGAGATACCTGTTGTTGTTCAGGTGTTTCCAACTCTTCGTGACCCCATTTGTCGTTTTCTTGGCCAGGATACTGGACTGGTTAGCTGTTTCTTTCTCCAGCTTATTTTGCAGATGAGGAAACTGAGGCAACCAGAGTTAAGTGATTTGCCCAGGGTCACACACTAGTGAGTGACTGAGGCTGGATTTGAACTCATGAACATGTCTTCCTGACTCCAGGCCTGGTGCTGTGTGCACTGCGGCACCACCTAGCTCCCTACAGGATATATATTTCAAAATGATAACACATCAAGTGATGCAGGATTGGAAACTTGGTAGAAGGACTACTGCTAGATTTGTGGGTTATCTGGGAGTCATCTACATATAAATGATAATTGTACCCATGGGATCTGGTGGTTCTTTTGGTAGTGCTGAGTAGGAGATGAACACTTAGTGAGAAATAGAATAAATACCTTAGTTACTGAAAAGATGATTATTTATAGAGAGAAACATGAGCTAAATTTTGAATGCTAGCATGAGGTCTCCCATGATCTCTGTGTTTATTCTTAAGATCTGGCAGATCTACCTGGAAAAGCTCTTGGTAATTTAGTGTGGCTCTAGAACAGACACTAGGCCTATCATCCAAGGACCAGTCTGGCTAAGCTCACAAGAGTCATCACCGGGTTAGATTCCATGTGATGAATGTTTTTTCATGTGTAACTCATGAAGAGTATGTCAGGGATATTTAAATTTGTCAGTAGTAAGAGTAGTCACACCAGTGACATCCCAAATCTTTGAAGTAATAGTCTAAAGAGCAATTAAGTTTAGGGAATCATGCTAATTAATTTAGTTTTCCCCTCATTGTTCTTTAACAAGTTTAAAATTCAGGCCAATTCTCAAATATTTTGAAAGCATCTACTATTCAAGTCACAGTGTTCAGCATTAGGGATACAAAAATAAAATGAAAAGCTGTCCCTGCCTTGGAGAGTGGGGTGTATACCACATACTAGCATAAACTTAAACATAACGGGAGAGTGAGGGAAAGTGCATTCACAATCAAGGGGATTAAGAGGAGATAGCACACAGTGGGAATCTGAAACAGTTTCTTCAAACATTTAGGGGTAGGAAATAATACTGAACTCAGGAAACTGCTGTTGGGCTAGTTTAGATAAAACTTTGCTTCCCAAACCTTAACGTACTTTTAGCAGACTTAAAGGGGACCGTGGAATTAAAGAGCATGTGTTACTGTTTTATGTAGATGTTGGTAAAGAAAAAAGATTCTCTGTTAAAAATAAAAATTTAATGCACTTTAAATTCCCCAGGAAAAGTTTAATTTTGGTCAGTTGGTCATAAAAGTTGGTCAGTAATGTCCATCTTGAGGGTTGCTATAAGTGGAAATTTTGAGGTTACCTTGGACAGTAGCCACTCTTTTAATTGAAGAAATCAAGGAGTGACTATAGTAGAAGGGAGGATTAAACATTTCTGATATTCAGTTCGTTGCCCACATACTCTTAGAAAGACCTGCCAAAGACTTTGGTGTATTGATCAGTCTTCTGTAGTTAATTATAAAGCTAGATTAGAATACAGTGGTGAAAGTCTGGATAAATATAATAATGGAAGCTTTCTAACGGACTGGTGCTAGGGGTACAGGACTAAGACCTATTGAATTTGTAACCTGACCTTGTATCAGGTTCATACAGACATAGGCTTCAAAGGACATGATTGGGCCCACAGACCATCAGCATCCTCACAATGTACAGCCTCATAAGAGTTCTACTATACTTAGGCTTTTCAACTAGACATCCAAACAGCTGCATGTTGAAAGAGTGCTGTTGTTCTGATCTCCATCTAATGCGGAGATGTTCAGCAAACCTGAATGGATGTTTAGGTGCAAATTAGCCAGTTAAGCTGACAAAAACATGGACGTTATTTCTGCCAGCTCTTAAAATTATTTCCATTTCTCTTTAAAACTTACTGTAATGCTGGGGATACTCATCAGAAAACCATTTTTTCCCCTAGAAATACACAGATGAGATTGATAGGTGAGCTACCTCATTTAAATGATTGTATTCTAGAAGGATTCACACATTGGGTAAGGGTGAAGCTAGATGCCTTTGAAAGTCCCATCCAGTTCTCAGGTTCTCTAAAATTGGCAGTGCCTTTATGAGCAGGAACATGTTGAGAAACCCCATTCCAGGTTCCCTTGGTTACTGTTGACAGGGACTTCTTATGTGAACATTTTTTTTCCTGGTGTTAAACCTTTCTTTTCCATTGCAGATAACAATGAAGATGGTGCCAAAAATGCTTTCTCCTCTTGTTAAAGATTGGGCTCCCAAGGCATTTGTAATTTCCTTTAAGTTGGAGACAGACCCCTCCCTTGTAATTGATCATGCCCGGAGAGCTCTGAAGACTTATTGTCATCAGGTGGTGGTGGCCAATATCCTTGATTCTCACAGGTCCTATGTGATTATTGTAACCAAAGACTCAGAAACACAGTTGTCTCTTTCTGACGAAGAAGTGGGAAAAGGTATGGAAATAGAAAGAAAGATTGTGAGTAACCTACAGTCTCGACACATGGCTTTTATAGATGAGAAAAACTGAGGCAGAGTTTGTCTACCAAATCCGAAGCTTGAATGAGAGGGTGGTACAGGGAAATGGAAATCATCTTTTGCCTTCCCTAAAGAAAAAGAAAATCTGTAGAAAGATGAAAAGAATGTTGGAATAGAAAGGGAATATTTAATTTCAAAACAATTTGGTTTTTGTCTTTTAATGGTATTTGATCCTCATTAAAAATGAAAACGAAGGGAGACCAGTTCTGGTCTTATATAGCTAAACTTACCACTTTCAAGTGGAAGAAGGAATAAAGGGGATATAGTTCTCATTTTCTATATAAAATAATTTAATGCAGGCTAAATAATAATCTCAGCAAAATTCAAAGGATAGAAGGAATAAAAGCCCAAATAAAACCGTGAACTCCAAACTTTTTATATTTTGATTAACACATGTCTATGTACATAAACTTTAACAAAGTAAATTTTTTTGTTTTGTGTTCTCTTTTAATGTCTTCCATCTCTGTATTTAAAAGTTTTGTTGCTTTTATAATATAATCATAATAGTGATATTTATTGTATTAAAGTGAGATGAAATACCACCCTGTACCCATCAAAAATTGGCAAAAAATGGTTTAAAATTGTAAAACTATTGGCACAACTGTGGGAAAACAAGCGTGGCATTAAATTGTTGATAGAGCTGTTTGCTCTTTCCATATTTTTTTGTATTCTCTATTTGATGCTCTCTCTAGGAAAACGATAGTCTCTTACCATGATTATTCTGCCATTTTCCGTTTGGATAAAGAGGAGGTTTTCAGTTAAAGTACAGTTATCCCTTCCACATCAAGATTTTCCCCATTGAGGTTTTGATATATTGGGGGTTGGCATAAGAAATGAAATGGGGAATTTTGGGGGAGTTTTGCAGAAGCCAACAGACGACAACAGAGCCTATGATCAAATACTTAACCCAAATTTTACAATAAGATACTATAAACACCCCATAAAAGAAAAAGAAAATATTCAGACTACTTCTCTGCTATGAAGGGAGGGCCAAAAATTTTACATGGATTTTTCAGCTCATGGGGGTGCTGTGCCCTTCTTCCCCTTTCCCTCCCCCCGATGTGGAAGGGATAACTATAGTTATGAATGCTTTAAACACAAACCATAATTTTTTTTTCCTTTTAACAATGTCCTTAGAATATAGTTCTTGAAATGAAATCACTTGATCAAGGGGTGTGATCCCTTTTGAGTCACGTTGTGTATATTTTTAATATAGTATTTTATTTTTTCCAATTACATGTAAAGACCATTTTAACACTAAATTTTCCAAAAATTTGAGTTCTAAATTTCTCCCTCTTTCCGTCACCTCCTCTCTCCCTACAGTGATAAGTAATTTGATAGAAGTTATATATGGAGTCACACTGCATATTGTTCTTGCAATATTAAAACAAGATTGTACCAGTTCACCGTTCTGCCAACATTATCATAGTGTGTCTCTTTCTCAGCAGCCCTACAAACCTTGAATCTGATAATTTTTAATGATTTTTGCTAATGTGATGGGTATATGGTGGTATCCCTTCACACCTCTATTTTCAAAAATGTTTAACTGGGAATTGGACCCTCTAAAAACACACTTTAGTGTATCCAACTTACAAACAAGGAAGCATTTGATTCATGAGTGGTCACAGTTTTGTCAGTGTGTGCACAAAAGACAACCCAGTTGTAAGTGTGGCATTTGGCAAAGCTTGTTTAATAGAGCTATGATGTGAGGATTCCCTAATTATTGGGCCCTTTTATTTATTTTTATTTATTTATTTTAAGGCAATTGGGGTTAAGTGTGGACCCTTTTATTTTAAAAGTAGCTTTTTCCCTGCCTGAATCCATCGATGAGCCCAATGTCTCCAACACTGTTGATGCTTTGCATTCCATGTGTCTTGTGCCTCTGGGCTGTCTTGCACAGAAACTGTTAGCCAGCCAGGTAGGTAAAGGTCATCTGCCTTGGGCTCCTCATCAGACAGCTGTGACATCAGTGCCCTTGGTGGAATTATACTTTAAGGATCCTTTAGCTTCAGCCACTACGTGCTGGAGTGGCCAGCGATGAGGGGAGGGCCTGTTAAAATCATGAGGCTTTGGCCTGGGCCCTAGCTGGGCCTGGGGTTTAGGTTCATCGGACTTCAGAATTAAAGGGTTTGTTATGTCATCTAGCTCACAGTAGTAGTCCAAAGTGCAAGGCTCTCGGAAACCTGAAGCAATTGCCTTGGTTTATAAATTAGGGAAACGAGGCTTCCATGAGAGAGCTATTATATGTGTATTTTTTTCTATTTTTTTCTTATTCCTTAGTTAAATTATAATTGCAAAGCAAGACAATCAATTCTTAACAGTGGTTATACATTTAGCTGATGACTTCAGTGTTCATGGGCTCTGATAATCTCTCCATCCCTTCCCACCTGACCCTCTATTAAAAAGTTGGGAATGACTGAGGACCTGGAGTTGTTCTGATTGCATCTGTGTCCCATCAAAACTGCAACATGGGCTAGAAGCAGGAAAGGATAGTTAATCCATTCAGTAGATATTAATTGGAGCTGAGAGGCATTGTGTGATGGCTAGAGAGCTGGGTTCTAGTCTTGCCTCTGACACACACGCTTTGTGGTTTGGGGCAAGTTATTTCATCTCTCAATGCCCAGGGCAAGACTATTTGCAGAGAAGGTGCAGGACATTTCATCAGGTGCTCCTTCTGCCAGTGAAATCACAGATACGGGTTTTTTTTAAATTGAGCACCTACTATGGGCAAGGCTTTGTACTAGGTGCCATGTATAATACAGGGTGGTGGGAGCCTAAAGCCTAGTAGAAAAGAGAAGTCATGATGTCAGAGTGCATTGAGACACAAAATGGGTTAGTTTCAGGAGAGAGACTGATGGCTAACTGGGGACTTCATAACTAATTGACAAGTTAGTTACAGATTGCTAGGCTGCTGTTATAGGAGAGAAGAACAATCCATTTTGGACCAGCATCCTCTTCTCCGTAGACCAACTTGGGTGACTAGTGAATGCTCTTACTCCAACCACAGACCTAGTTTAAGTCTCAGTTTGCCTGTGTTGCCTCCGTTGGCACAAGAATTAGAGGACCATTTCCAGTTACTGCTTCTTCCAAAGTAGAATTTTAACCTAGATTCTTAAAAAAGTGAAGGCAGACTCAAGTTAATTTTTACATTTTAAATTTGCTTGAGGTTGCAAAAACTTTTCATAACTAAACCATGATTGCTTGGAACCTTGGAGAGGACCTTAAAGATGATCTATTTACTAGCTCTGTGACCCTGGGCAAGTCACTTAACCCCGACTGCCTCATCAAAAAGCAAAACTCCTCCCCCCAAAAGATGATCTAGCCCAAATCCCTCATTTTACAAATTAGGAAACTGAGGCCTAGGAAGGGGAAGAAACTCGGCACTGTGTTCAATGTCAGACCTCCTAATTCCCACTTCACTGCATGGTCTCTGCTGGCTGCCTCCCCTAAGCTTTTATTGAACTCTCTGAGGGGATGAATTCTGAGACTCTTAAGACCTGCAGGTATAAAACCCTCTCCCAGCAATGTACGCCTGCACTTTCTTTGCCTTTGTTCCAGCTCAGTCCAGCTTGGATGCCTTTACCTTCAGGAAGCCTTCCCTGAACCCTCTCCTGTTATAACAAGACTTCCCTCTTGGACTTTGCATAGCACTTTGCACCTCTATTAATGCACTTTTTGTGTAATGTGTGTTGTAATTAATTACCTGTCTCATCTACCTGCTAGACTCTGGTCACAGAATCTGAGTGTGAGTCTTGGCTCTGACACTTTCATTTTGTGACACTGGGCGACTACTCAACCCCTATGTGCCTGAGTTTCCTCTTTTTTTTTTTTTTAAATGGGGATAATATTTGTATTACCTACCTCACAGGGTTGTTGTGAGGAAAAGCCCTTTGTAAATCTTAAAGCATTATGTAAATTATTATTCTGATTATGCACAGTACTATATTCTCTGTGGGGCCAGCAAAGAGCCCCTTGGAGGATCCCCTGAGCATACCCGTAGATTTTCTTCCCCTGTTGGGGACTTAGTCCACTTGCAAGTATTTATTAAGCAGCTACTCTGTGCCAGGCACTACTTCAGGTCTTGGGGATACCAATATTAAAATGAATGTTTCACTCCCTGAAGGAGCCTTCCATTCTACAGGGGAAACAACATATATACATGTAAGAAAATGTAAATTATAAACAGAATGGTTGGATGGTACACCAGTTGCTGTTGCGGATCAGGGAGAATTTTGAAGGGAGCTGGGGATTCTAAGTAGGAGATGAGAGGAGACTGCATCGCAGGTGGGAGTGAGAACCTTTGCAAAGGCCAGGTCCAGACCTCACAGAGCCAATGACCCTCACTTGGGGCTTCCATAACCAAGGGGCCTTTGGTTCGTTCCATTGCTTGCTATCCCATCCCTTTTCCACCTACTCTTAGAACCATCCCATATCAACTCCTCCAACGGACCTTCATCACACCTCCTTTTACAGGCTAACATTCCTCCCATGAGGCTGTTTGCTGGTCACAGTTCTGTCTATGAAACCAACTTCTGAGCATCTCTATTCTCTCTGCCTAGTAATTACCATACGCTCCCCACCAGCTCTGACCCAACCACCTCTTGGTAATGTCCTGCCCATTCACCAAAGCAGCAAGCAAGGCCAGGAATAGGATTGGAAGGAGGCCCAGAGTTACTACCCCAACTTGATCCAGATGGATTACAGTGCCATGCCTCTCTGCCTTCTTGTCCTATGCAATTTCTTCCCATGACCTAAATCCAGTGTGCACCCAGAGCACCGGAGGCCCTCCTCTGTTAGCTTATTCCTTCTGTGGTTGGACAAGGATATCACTTGTATACAGAACCACACAGTATCGTAGTTGGAAGGGACCCTGATGACTCATACTTGAACCTGCCCCTCTAGTGGCCAGCCAGCTTTTCTTGGAGACCTCCAATGAGAGGGAACTTGCTGCCACTGTCTGAAATAGCTCATTCCACTTGGGGATAGTTCTAACTATTAAGGAAACATTTTCTGTCGTGATGCCTAAATTTGCCTTTCAGTGTCCATTTGCTGCTCCTAGTTCAGACCTCTGGAACAAGTCAAATCCCTCTTGTAGGTAACAGTGCTTAAAAACAGCCATTATGACCCCCAAAGCCTTCTCTTCAAGATAACCAGTTCCATATTAAGTGCCTACTGTGTGCAACTCACCTTTATAATTTTCTACATCCCCTGCTGTACAAATTTCTTGAACTTGGTCTCCACACTCAAACTCAACTATCCATTTAGCCCCAAGATCATTCCTGTCTTACCTTGTCTAACTTTTTCTACTATGTTTCCATTCTGTAGCTAGGTCCATATCCAACACTCCCAGGGTAACAAGAACAAGAAGGTAAAATATCAGTAGTTTAATTTGTTTTTAAGACAGTTGAAAAAAACGAGGCCTTATCACTATTGAATAGATAATTGGTTTGTAATAATGCTTATGTTGCTGCTGTATTTGTAACATGCTAAATGTACAGCATGAACTGTGGAGAAATGGATAAAACATGTTTGAAAGGACCAATTGGATGTTGGTTTCTAGGAAGACTCAAAGAACTTACTTAGTAAACATTTATTGAATGAATACATGGATTAACTCCATAATGGCCCAGAAAAGTCAATCAGGCTGAGGTGGCAGCTGGTCTGGAAAAAGTTACTGAGTCCAAAGCAGATTGTACCTTTAGAGACAAGCAGATTGGTGTCTGTCTCTAGGTGGCTTTGTAGGAATCCTACCTGGTGAACAGCCAAGGGACCATTAGTCCAAATGTTAGTGCACCCACCTTTAAAATGCCACATAAACAATATCCTTTCAATGCCACAAGAGCTTTGCAATGCTGATGTGATAGAGCTATCTATATCTATAGCTTTCCAGTGAAATGGCAGATTTCTTGTTATGTTACCATAACCCATACTTAAGCTTTCCAATGTCATGTGGTTAATACTTATATGCTTTGTCTTATCTGAATATCTAATAAATGCCTTTGAATTTGAAAGTGTTTGCATTTTTATTTTCCATATCAAAACCTTGGTAAGAAATAACTACCCAAGACAATCAGAATTTTTGCTATTACTGCAAATGAAAGGGGGTAGGGGGATGGGTTCCCCAGTGGGTCACTCTAGGCAGTTTTGTACTTTTCTCCATTTCATTGGTCACCATGGGGCCAGCCTTCCCCTGGTATGTCCAGTTGGTCAGCTACCTCAACACTGGCAGGGCCTTCTTCTCCACCCGAAATGAACTAAACTTGAGGTCACTTTTGTGCCAGGAGGCCATGTGAAGGGGTCAGCAGTGACGCCTTCAGCAATCATTCCAGCCTGATTCTATCCAGTATGCTAGCCAACCTTCCCACCTTGTCACCAGAAGACTTGAAAATCGCGCCATCTAGGCTCTGCCCCAAGTTTTTAAAAACCCGTACAGGACAAGGCCAAAGACCCCTTATGGCATTTCTTGATGACGTGAAGAGAATTGGGAGACAGAACACCTGGGTTCCAATCCTGTCTCTGCCACTTACTACCTTGGGCAGGTCACAGCCTCCCAGGGGCATCTGTCAAAATGAGGGGTTGGATTAGAAACGGGGATTTGAACGTTCATCCCTAAATCCTATAATCTAAAACCCTTCCAAAATCTCCAAATGTCCGTGAGCCCAGATGATGTCCCCCTTCCCCAGTAACCCTCATGAGCTCCACCCACGCGGGAACAAAGACCGAGGCCCTTGGGCCAAAAATCTCTCGTCCTCCACCTGCTTTCTCTGCCTCCCCTCCCCGTGGCATGGTCTGTGCCTTCACCTCCCCACAGGAAGGTCCCGCCCTCTAAGGCCAATGGTATGCTCCGTAACCATGGCAACCGCCAGCGGAGCCCCGGGACTGGAGCGGTTGCCATGACTCCCGCAGAGCCAGTCGGCTGCTGCAGTTTGGAGTCACGGACCGCCTCCGAGGAGTCTCTGCTGGACTTCGGCGACAGGGGTGCTTTTCATCCTTTCCGCAGAACCAGGCCCGCTCGCAGCCTCGACAGCCGGGAGAGAGAGCCGCCTTCTCTTATCTCTTCCCCTTTCTTTTCCTCCCTTCCGCCCTTTTTCCGGCCCCCTGCCTCCAGCCCCACCACACCTGGTGGAGTGAAGGAGTGTGTGAGGAGAGGCCTTCCCGGCTGCAGGGGTGTGCGCGTGCGTGCGCGTGCCCCGAGCCGTGCGCGCGCGCCCCGAGCCCGCGCGTGCCCTGAAGTGTGCGCACGCGCCCCAATCCCGCGCGTGCCCCGAGCGGGGGCGCGTGCCCGGCCCCTCTCAGGACAGGGGTTTTGCCAAGGCCTGGGTGTGCTGGGAAGACTGGGGCCGCCCTTACTAACTCCCCGCGGAGATGGGCAGCCGAAGCCGAGGAAGGGGAGGCCCTCCGGAGTCCTAGGTTCTCCCGCC